ACATAAAATAAAAAATTTATATCTTTATGTTTGAAGCCTGAAATGTGGCAAAAGGTTGAAAAGTTCAAGGGGGCCGAATACTTTCGCAAGGCACTGTATGACTTACTGTAGATGAAGATCAGATCACATTTTAGGAGCCATTCATGTAGAAATCCAGATAATTCCAGAGGGTTCACAAACTTTTTCTCACAACTGTAGCTACTTGGAATCGTGCTATACAACTTTGCCCTGTTGGTGGCACCATAATGCAAAAGCAAAACTTTTTTATTTTATTAATATTTCTGAAAATTATTTTCAAATGGCTGTGCTTGTTATAAATGTGCAACCAGCAGCAAAATGGATTTGGTTATCATGTAAATGATATGGTCAACCATGGTAGATTTGTGATAGTGATAGCTCTAAACCAAGGAATATACTATACTGTATATCTTTACTTAAGTTAGTATGCTTTTCTCTGATATTTGGCAACTGCAAGTAGCATTTGGGTAGATAAGCTATACTTTGTTTATTCTTGATGTACATCAATATAAACAGAATCATCCACAAGGAAATTAACACAAAGAAGCACTGTATTTTAATTCATATTTATTTCTAATGAATGTATTGCTTTATGCAGGCAAGATAAAGACTTACATTTTGAAGTGTACAGATAAGAGGAAAAAATGTATGATGAGTGAACAAAACTATCCTTTTCATGCATGGCTTATTGGGAAAAATGAATAAAGCTAACATTTCAAGTAGTTTTGGATGCACAATAATAAACATGATTAATTATTCTATATATTAGACTGGAAAACACAGCAACTTCTTACAATGTCATCATTCAATAAGATCATTTGAGAAACACATATCTTTAATAGTAATGAATGATGCCAAGTTCCCAAGAAAAATATGATTTCAGGAATGGGGTACTCCAGTCCAATCTACAGTGAATAAATGGATAAGTTTATTAACAACACAGTTAAAAACCATGCACACTTGATTATTCTTTTGTTTTCCTTCTCTTGGAGATCATCTCCAAGTTTCTTGACAGCATCACAAAATCCAAGTTTGGAATTTTTGTCCACATGTAAAGCTGCATTTTCTTTGAACTCAACTTAAAAAGCAAACATTGGTTTTCTTCCTATATGTGCAGTAATGTGCTGGATGATATTGTAACTATTTGAATATGGTTACACCTTTTCAGTTATTTCGTATGTAGAATCACTTATTTATCCATTCACTGTAGTGTAACCAATTTTCACATCATGCCATTTACAAGATACTGCAGGTTGGTAATTGTAGTGAAACCATATTTAGTGATGTGAAACATTCAAATATATCGTTCACATTGATAAGGCCAGTATTGTTTTACGGTGTGCAATTTGTGCAGAAAATGTTTAATTTTGACTTTAAATTACAATTTCAATCTAGGGCTATCAATCAATCCAGACACTGTGGGGGAAAAAAAAAATATTTCAAATTTACAAAAACACAGGCTTTTAAAATTTCATAATTTTGAAAAATTGTGGCAAGGAGATTGAATTTAGATTTTCAAAGTACAGTACTTACATACCGTCGACAAAAAAATAAATGAATGTTTCTCAAAACGGTAACCTTCATCACTACAACTCAATAAAAACAACCTTGCTTATAATTGTACAACTACAGCTTTCAACTGTGAAGATAAAATATCAATTTTCAATTTTAAGACATAAAAACATGTAATTCATTTAAATCTCTTGAATTAAAACCTGAAAAGTATGACAAAGGAAAAAAAATGATCACAAAGGAAATTAATAGATAAAAAATGACAACAGGTAAGCGTGAAGTACATATCCAAAGTTTTTGACACCATGAATACATTCATTGGGAACAACAAAAAATATTTATGGCTATTTCTAAATATTTCTGTACCATACTGATCTCAGGTTTTACAGTTGAACACCAGCCCCAAATCAAGCATTGTACCATCCTCTTTAAAAAAAATAATTTGGCATTCTCACCTAATGTTTCTACACCCCTTGGAACAAGTTTTCAATCCACCAAAAGACCATAATAAATTGAAAAAGTATTTGCTTACTTACATGTTTGTGTTCCAAATTGTATGTAATTACAATGTAAAGAACTAGCTATCTTGTCCCACCCAAATAATTAATTATGCTATTTTTTGTACAAAGCAATAAAGCTGGAAATAGAAGCCTGAGACTTTCTTTCAATTTATCTTCCAAAATTATCCTACAGAGCAATAATCTGTAGTATCATTACTGGGGATGATTCTCTGTATTTGAATAGCTTTATGGTCAATGGTCCTTGCAGTTAAAGCAGCATGTACATCTCTGCTCAGAATGGAGATGTAATATAATGTAAAAAATATGGCTTAAGCAAGACTATGACAAAAGGGTAAACAAAGGTGTGTGCATTTTTAGAACTCTGGCTATTGCACACAAAGTCATACTGCACTTTGTTCTTTCGTTTCTCTACCAAAATAGTAATCAAAATGAGGCATCTGCTGTTCTTTGACAACAAATGTTAACATAGTAAACATACAAACAAAACATGTTTTTAATCAATCACACTCTGTCCTTAAAGGTCCACAGTCTCATCCCCTGATCCCCAGGTATCAATAAAACACCGTTACAACCACCAACCCATTGAAATTTCACCCATCTTTTCCCTTTTCTCCTTAAACATGAAGCAAGAACTTTAAAATCCTTAAAACTTTAAGAAAAAGTAATCCTAAAGGATTGTCTTTGGAAAAAAAAAATCTTACGTGTTATGACAGTAAATATTGTAGATGCGGATCTGACTTGACTTAGGCACAAACATGAAAATTTAAGGATATACTTAATTAGATGGAAGAAAGTTCAAATAAGAACTGTAATTCTAAGGAGCAATCATGCATAAACAGCAAAGGAAGCCACCAATAAAAACCATTCCCTAAAAGACAAATCAATGCACTATTGTAATTAATTGAAGGTACACTCTACAACACTAGATTGGTATAGCAGCAGTGCTGGAATGCTTTTTACCCCACAATAAAACGTGTTGCTTTCCATTTGTGAGGCAGAAACGAGATTTACGAAATCCTCTTTCAGTATTTTTGTTTAGAATAAACATAATAAGGTAAAAACAGAGGACAGTAATGCGTGAGAAAAATATTGATTCCAGAAAAAAAAGGCAAGCGACATAAATTATCTTTACAGAATTGTTTAAGGCTGTTTTGCAGCACCTGTGCTCAAATATCCCATTTCCTTTGTGTTGCATCTTTTTTGCCCATTGGAAACATAATGAATACAAAGTGTTTCGAAATTGTATGAGAAAAATCTTTTGATGAAGATTTTAATAGACACCGCAACCAACTGCTGGCTTTAAACGTAAGTTTAACATGTACCTGTACATGTACATGCCTAAATGTTTAAAACCATGTGGAACCCACCATCCTGCATCAAAGATTTATAAACACTAAAAAAACGACTGCCATATTTGACTTTGTGTACAATTAATGTAATTTTAAGAGCAAAACAGTAAAGGCAAAACAGGACTTGCATTAAAAATTGTGAGCTCTTGCCTTGTGGTTTAATCTACGTACATCACAAAACACCACATCAAAGTCATACCTTGCATATGACTAAATATTTCTTGTATATAAGCACAGACATACCAATTCAGCATACTTTGCAAGTCAAGATTTATAAGATTTATTATAAATGAGGTATCTGATACAAAGGACCCTGCATACACTACTTTGTCCAAGGTCCTGTGCGTGCATTTGTTTTGACTGGCAGGGAATTTTTTTTAAATCATTTTAAAATTGTTACCTTCATTTTTGTCTTCGCAATCTTCAATTTTGTTAGAAAACACATCATTGGGATGATGGTATTTAACAATGCTTTAAATAAGCGTTTTGAAATCGCAGTGAAATTCTATCCATTTAATATGCAAATGAAAAGTAAATTGCAGCATGCCTCTCTCTGCACAAGTATGGAAACTGTTAATATTATGAACGAAGCATAGTTAAAACACCGCTTTCAGCATTCACCATATCAGCGCTGATGGTCTATGTACACAACTTTTACAAGAATGTTGTATTATTTTTCAATGAATATTCCATTAGTAGCTGTTTCATCCCCACTAAGTGCTCTTATTTTTCAAACATTCCAACAGCCAGCTTTCTGAATGCATATATTTAAATATCTAGGATGCAAATGCAAGCAAATGTTATACAGTCTTCTCGGCTTTTAACGGATTATGGTCTGTAACTTCTAAAGCAGCTGTGTGCCAGGCATAAGTGCACTTGTATCCTCTTTTATGGTACAATAAACAAAAGAAACAACAATAAATACCGTATATAACTTAAAGTTCAGATCTGGAAAAATGATTAATTGTTGTTTCTGGACCACAAATTCTGATAAACACTATTTTCTCTTAAACATACCTGGCATAGTGCATCTGCAAGTCAGAGCATTTCATTTTTTTCCCCTTATACAAATTCATGCTCTTGGTCACAGTGTCTCTAGAGCAATGTATTACCAAAGACATGTCCTTTGTGTATCTTATCTTATTGCACTACACAAATTGATTGTGTTGTCTGGCATTGTCTTTTAGTGATGCACGGACAATGTTCTTGAAGTGCACTGGATAGGCTGTGTTCTACACATTGAGTATAACTTGTTTTGTATAAACGGCTGTGGAAACATTTAAGTTTCATAGATCCATCACATCTTCGCTGTCCAGTGTTCATCCTATTTAAAGTTCAGTGCAGAATAAAACAACCCTCAAAAGACACGGGATACTACTTTTTATGTATTTGGCTGAAGCTCAGGTTTGCCCGTGACGCACCCTTCAGAACGAGCTTTTGATGAAAATTACCACTGTCCTCCCTTTTTTTAAATAAACGGTCTGAATATAACATTTTTTGCATCTGGTGTATAATGTTGTAATTTATCCCTAGTCAAAACTTGAGGCCTCCCTCAGTTTGATGAAATATAATTAATCTTTTCCAACCTCAAATTAAATTGTGACAGATAACGTATTGCTACCGGTAAGTCTCTGCCATTTCCCTTGTATCCAAACATTTTCAAGGATGCATGGCGCATCAAGGAAAGTTTTTTTCTCGCCATAGTGAATTATGTAACGTCTAGGAAATGACTAAATTGACCTGATATTCACAATCAGTAATCCAAAAGTTGAGTTTGCAGAAAAGGACAAGCCCATGTTGTCCAGCACAGAGAAGTGTTGTTCTTCCATAAGTCTAAAGATGTGCTTGCTGTGCACAATCACATTGCTTCTTTTAGGTTAGTCAATCTTTCCATTTTCCTGTATTTCCACCTTGAGCTTCCTACTGGAACGTAGAACCTTGTAACATCCACGGGCAATCTTGTGCATCCACATCACATTCATAACATCGAGACAGATGCTGGAGCAAATCCAAGCACTTCGTCCTCCGAATGACAGCCTGTAGAAGGCTTCTGTTCCATAGATGGAGTACATTCTTCCATAGTAGACTGGCATGACAGCAATCCTCACCAGGAAAAATATTACTGCCATCATGATTCCATTGGCTATGTTGGGACTGGAAGATTTGGGATAACCTAATATTTCAAAGAACCAGCTGAAAAACACAGTAACAATAATAATAAAAAGCATGCCGATACGCCGTGAACACTAAGATATCTATTTTTGTTCTATTTTCAAAAATAAAGCCAGACCAAAAATTGAATCAAGACACACATTTATAATGGGTGTAGTGAACCAATCTGGACGGTCAAAAGGTTTTCACAAAGGATGCAAGTGTATGGCCATGTTACTGAAAATGCCTTCAGTCAGTTGTGATGGAGTAGTCCAGTAGTTAGTACAAGCTGCACTGCCATATATACAGTACCAGTATATATTTCTTATCACACACATAGAATTTGAAAGCCTTAAAAGCTATGGATTGTCCTCCTACATAACTAAACAATAACCGCACAAAGAACAGTCAAGAGTCAAGTCATCCTACATATTTTTGTCAGATTATAAAAATGCACATACATTTTTTGTAGAATTAATAAAAGATGTCTGATGGATTGTAATAGTTTTAAAGAAAAGAACACTCCCCGTGACCATTTGTAAAGTTTTAATAAGAAAACGTCAATACTTGGGAGCATGGGCTGTTTAAAGGACGGAATCTAAAACATGTTTAGCTTTTTGCAAACCCTCGCTGGTTTTCTAAAAGTTTCCTGATTGTATGCAAGACCCACAGGTACGTGTCTTGATGGTATTCTACCTGAAACTTGTACAGTACATACCGCTGATTCACACAGGGAGTGGAAAACTCTGCAAGCAGACGGAAGTTAGCAAAATAAGGCAACAATCCTTGGCCCTAAAAGAAGGTAAAAAAGAGATCATGAACTAGAAATTGCACAAACTGCTTTACAATCTGTATCAACCCATCATTCTCAGGTAGGCTTAAAATATATTACATCCAGAAGATGACTGTGCAATACCGCATTCACTGATGGCTATGATATAAAATGCTGGCAAAAAAAAGACGGTTTAAAGGTTCAGAGTTTTAGAACACATGCGATGCAAGCGACTATTATAGCATAAGAAGCCGATCCTCCTTTGGTACCAAATTTCAATTATTATTCCTTGTAGGATGTATTTTTTTAAACAGATGTCAATTTCAACATTAATATCCATTACAGCAAGAGAAGAACAGCTATAATATCTAATATAATAACCGGTATCCTACTCTCCTCAGTTTCTCAAGAGGATTAAAAAAGTGAATTATGGACTGAATCAGGCCATTCAGCACTGCTGGACTGGACAACTGCTGCCTGCGTAAGTGACTTCAGTTGCATAACCATTGGAAATGTTTGCATTAGCTATTGATTGTGCTTACAAAGCACAAGGCTATAACAGTTAATTATGGAAAAACACACAGTTTGCTTATATTCTATGAGTCACCTGCTTTCTATTAGACAATAAGCCCCAAAAATATTATGCACGATGTTGATGTAATGTTTATGTATCACTGCATTTGGAAAATTAATGGGTTTTAATTTGGATTCTCATTAAATAAAAAGATGATCACAGAGCTGTGAATCTGAAAGAATAAAATAAAACGTGGGTTTTGTGCACTAAAATGACACAAGGGAAATTTATGCATCATATTTTTGGTTTGCCAAAGAACAGTTCTTTCCGGACCCTATGCGGACGACACAATCCGACGGAGTGGGGTAACACTAGGGAAATGTCATGCAGGAATACGGGGCAGAAGACAG